GACAGCTGAAAATGATTAGCCTAGAGAGGTGTTTATAAAGTGTTTGTGGTCACTGAGTAAATTATTGTGAACTCAGATCTCCAGTGGCACTTTTCAGCATTAAACAGAGTGATATCTGGGTACATAAGTCGCTGAGACCATGAGAAAGTGTCCCGTTACAAACAATATCTACCTGAGGAAAGGTTTAAAGTGTTTGTGGTCACTGAGTAATCTCAAACCCAGTCTTAACTTGCAGTGGTATTGATTTAGGTTTTCTCGAAATCAGATAAACGTCCACAAACTCTGATGAAGGAAAATTGAGGTTGTATCAGACATCAGTGACATTAAAAAAGATTTGGACTCTGCTGGGCAGGCAATTTCGAAATTCATATCCCCAGTGGGCCAGTAAATTTCAGGTTTTGCCTGCCCTCACTTGAATATTACTTGCCAATATGGTGGTTGGGGATGAATGCAAACAAAGTATGCTTGGATTTTAAATAAATCCATGCTTTTGACTCCTTGTTTCACTCATCTTGTAGTCATCAGATTTGAAATACTGTAAACTGCCACTTACAAGCCCTGGGCTTATACATCTTTGTAACTGGGCTTTTAGATGGGCTCATAAACGGAGGGGCTTATAAATGGAGGGGCCTATAACCGGAATAAAAAAAAAAAAAAAATTCGCAGCGAGCTACAGCTGCAGCACGTGGATTGAAATAGGTTTTTCATTTACTGGTAATTAAGCTTTAAAACACCATAGTAAAAAAATTCAAAACAAGGAAAGCTATAGGGGGCTTANAGGTAGCGTAAACGGCCGCTTAAAAGCCCTGGGCTTATACAGTTTTGTACGGGATTTTAGATGGGCTTATAAAGGTGGTGTGGGGGGTTAGTTTTTCATACTGGTAGATAAGCTTTAAATCATAATAAAAAAATTCAAAACAAGTAAAGCTAATGGAGTTGGACATCCGGTTTTGGTGGGGGGGGGGGGGCGCTTATAACCAAAATTTGGTTATAAGCGCCCCCGTAACTTTTGGTTTACAGGTGGATTGGCCTATAACCAGGGAGGCTCGTAAACAGAGGGGCTAATAAGAGGCAGATTACGGTAGCTTCTGACTGGAAATTATCATTTCCTCAAGCCTTTGGAGACTTCTGCCCAGATGTAGTTCTACAGAAATTCAGCTAGTGTATTTGATAAGTTGTTCCTTGGTTACGAATTATTTGTATCCAAGCAACAACCAGTCATCAGTATGCAATAATTATTTCTCAGTTAAATGATTAAAGTCAGCTTAAAAGACAAAAGCTCGCACAACCAGTTTTTAAACTAAATTGACTTTTATTGCTTTATAATATTGTACATGTAACTGCATAATACATTTTTAAATATTTACAATGAAGCTCAAAAATTAACAACTGAAAGCTTTACATTTTCCTGAACATTTTTACAAAGCATCTGTGCATAGTCTTAATTTCTTGCAGTTAGCTAGACTGCAACTTCACTAGTTTGATCAAGATATATTGTAATCAGCTCAATTTGAGTATATGCCAACAGATTTTTCACTGTTGCAACATTTTCTATGAGTACAGATTTCGAATGAGAGCCTGAACAAAGTCTGTGGTACTTGTACTGCCACCCATGTCCATCGTTAAGAACTAAAGATCAAACAAAAAAATAACTTTCTAGTTAGTAATAGGTCGCATTTATCACTGATCCTATGAGACAGAGACTCCTTCCTCTTTCTGCTCGGTGAGAATGAGCACAAAGAGAGGGGAATATCTGTTTTGCAGGGTAACTAATCAGCAATTTTAATCATAAGTTCAGAACTATAAATTGCCATCAAAATTCTCTTTCACAAGAAATATACTAGTTAATAAATATAAACCCTCAGTTGAAAATTTTTGTAGAAAATTATTCAAGCACAAGTTCAATCAAGAAAAATGCTGGAGTTTTGCTTTTCCATGTACTAAAAATGGAAAAATTGATATTCAGGGTGCTTACATACTGTCAGTTAAACTGCAGCAAAAAGTTTTGTGATGTTTGCTTTTTCATTCGATGCCAATGAAATGACAAATTATAAAGTAAGGTGGAAAGTAGTTGTAGTCAGCAGAGAGACAGACCTTTCCCTCAGATATTGTTTTCTCCAGAGCTTCTTTGATCATGTTAGCATAAAATCCAAGACTGAAAGAGAAGACATATTGTTAATAACAGAAAGTGAACTTCTACAAACAGAACCTTTCATTTTCATTTTCACAAGTTAAGAGTCTTTTTCAGACAAAATTTATTTTTACAAAACAACCATAAAACTAATTTTTACAATACTAAACTGTTAAAAGGGTAAAAAAAA